GGGAGGGGGGGATAGAGAGCGGGGGAAGGGCGGAGGAGCGCAGGTGGAGGAGCAGTGGGAAAGGGTGGGAAAAAGAGCGGGGGAAGAGCAACGGGGAGCAGCGGGGGGGGCCGGGGAAGGGCGGGAAAGAGAGCAGGTGAAGGGCGGAGGAGCGCAATCGGAGGGGCGGGGGAAGGTGGAGGAGCAGGGGAAATAAGTGTTTTTTTTCTTTTCTTTTTTCTAGCGGCAGAGGGGGGCAACGCGGCAGAGGAGCAGCGGGGAGGGGGGGATAGAACGCGGGGGAAGGGCGGAGGAGCACAGGCGGAGGAGCAGCGGGAAAGGGTGGGAAAGAGAGCGGGGAAGGGAAGGGAAGAGAGCGGGCGAAGGGTGGACGAGCGCAGGCGTGGGGAGCAGCGAGAGAGGGCAGGAAAGAGAGCAAGGGAAGGGCGGAGGAGCGCGGGCGGAGGAGCAAAAAAGGAGTGTTTTGTAATTACAAATTACCTCTGAGAGTATCTTGTCAACATTCTCAACATCAAAGTTTATGTGATCTATCAAAAGTACACAGTGATCTTGAAGAAAGATTGACACCCTCCAGCGCAAATATGCCTCCTCAAATCTTTGTCGGTTCAAAATGTAACGGTCTGTGTGTTTGTGCCTCAAAATGTCTTTTCCCTGCTCCTGTACTGTCAAAAACCTTGTAAGATCTTCTCGGTCATTGTGAACTGTTGTTGATGTTGAGAAACCTGCATTTGCTTCATACCTGCAAATACAAAAATAAAAATACAAAGCGAAGTTTCTTGTTTTAGTCATTTTCGTTTGGTTGACTACCTTGTCATCTCCCATGCCATCTCCCGAGCCATCTCTTCCGTACCATGTCCCCCATCATTCCCACTCACCATCCTACCTACACAAGCGTTTCCTCCTGACCGGCGACTTCCTCCCATAGCCCTATTATGCTATAACAGTTTGTACTCCCTTCATTCATAACATTAATTTTGTTTTGTCGTATAACCCTCGATACAATAGCTCGGCATTAAGATGCTTAGAAAAGGAAATTGAAAACCCAAAAGTAGTGGTTGTATATGGCTAAAATGTTTGAAACTACACAGTGCAGGGAAGCAGGACTGTGAAAAGAGAAGAAGGGAGAAAAAAGGAGCCACGAGGGGAAGAGGGGGAAAAACGACCCTCATTAAAAAAAAAAGAAGAGGGAGCGAAAAGGAGGAGAAGGAAGAAAAGAGGAGCCGCAATGACGATCATAAAAATTTTAAAAATATATATTTAAAATACCTGAAAAATTTGAAGATATCAACCTCCTCCACCATGGCGGCGTGTGTGACCCAATGACAACGTCCACTATGATCGAGGATGATGATGATATTGGAATCCTAAGACAACACAATGTCAAGGAAGGAGGGGGAAGAGGAGGAGAGCCAGGAATGACAGAGTTTTTCACTCCCCCACCCGCTCTGCCCCCTCCCTCTCTCGTTTTTTTTCCTCTCTTCACATTAATGGTTCACCGGGACCCCCTATTTTCAGGTCCTTCACATACATACATACATACAGCACAACCTCCCACTGCTCTCTTATAAACAAACAAAATTCATTAACTCTCTCTCTTTCTCCCTTTCTCTCTCTCTCCCCCCAGATATGAACACACACCATATTAAACTCCTCTGCCACACACATATAAACACCATTACCTCAGAACAAGCAATTGGACGAACAGGATAATGCAATCAGTTAGAGCAACTGGTTGCTGCTACTGGGTGCAGCAACTAGTTGCTGTGACCAGTTGTGACAACCCAGTGTGCAACAACTGGTTACAGCAACCAGTTACAGCATCTGAATATTGCGACCGGTTACAGCAACAAGTTGTTGCAACCGATTGCAACGACCGGTTGGTGGCACCCAATTTCAATTATTTCTTCGAGTGTTAGTGACATGCTGCTCCACTCTCCAACTTGACAGAATTCATTTGAGAGTTGACAATAAGATTGCTGAGAGAGAGAAGACTGCTCAGAGAGAGAGAGAGAGGATTCCTGGAGGAGAGGACTCGATGTGAAAATTCGGGAGTCATCAGCCTCCAACATAAAAATGTCTCATTTCCTGCAACTGCTCACACCAAATGGCTGCTGCAACCTGTTACAATAAGTGGCTACAGCAATCGATGCAGAAACTGGTTACAGCAACCGGTTAAAGCAACTGGTTGCTGCAACTGGTTACAGGAACCGGTTACAGCAACCGGTTACAGCAATCGGTTACAGCAATCGGTTGCCCCAATATTATAGAATCAACTAAACCTATGGACTGTAAAAACAACTAGATGACCTGTTGTGGCTTTGCTCGCAAAAAACAAACATGACAGCTGATTCATCCATGGTGGAGGCAACTGA